ATTAGCCAAATCATGGAAGAATCTAGTGTTCCCATCGCCTTCCTTAATCCACTTGTGTCTAGATTTTTGTCTCCAACTGATTTCTTCCCTCAATAACACCTCATCCAAATCCTTTTTTAATTGTCTCCTTAACACTCTGTCCTCCTCGGTCAGCCCATTGTGAGATTCTTTTACATCCAAGTTCTCTATTCGATGGATTAGACCCAATTTTTGCTCCTCAATTCTACCAAACTGATCTCTATTCCACTCTTTTATTTTGGCTCTCAACCTTTTTAATTTCTTGTGGAACTTGATCCCCTTCCATCTTACCCCTCTCCTCCTCACCCCACCACTCCTTCACTTTTTTCACAAAACCTGGATGGGTAAGCCACATATTTTCAAATCTAAAAGGTTTGGGTCCTATAGGAAAAGACTCAGTACCTATTTGGATAGGACAACGATCGGAGGTGACCCTGGGTAATGCCCTAGCAACCAAGTTTTCCAAACTATTCTCCTAGGCAAGGTTAAATAAGAATCTATCCAACTTCGAGCACAAAGGGGTTTCCTGAAGGTTGGACCAAGTGTAACTGGCTTGCAGCAGAGGTATTTCCTTCAGATCACAATCCTCAATAAAACCATTAAATTTCCTCATGCTTGTTGAGATTACCTGTTGGGGATTACTAGTTTCATCAGAGAATCTAATGACGTTAAAATCCCCGCTCAGGCACCAAGGACCATCCCATAGCCCCTTGATTGCATATAGTTCCTCCCACATCTCATTCCTCTCTCTATAGGAATTAGGGCCATAAACATTGGTTAAAACCCATACACACCCATTCTCTACATTCTTGCACTTAATGGAAACTGAGAATCTGCCTATCAATTCTTCCACTACTTCCACCACATCCTCCTTCCACAGTGTTACAATCCCCCCCGAGGCTCCCCAAGAAGGAGCCAAGCTCCAACCTAAACCTCTAGACCTCCAAAAACTCCTCACCCATCTCCCATCTAAKTCCATCAATTTGGATTCTTGTAACAGCACAATATCAGGTTTTTCCCTTTGGAGTAGGTCTTTGATCATCCTTCTCTTCCTTGCACTCCCTAACCCTCTTACATTCCAGCTAATAATTTTCATCGARACAAAGTAGCAAAAGAACCCAATAAGAGGCCACATTCTCCTTAATTTAGGCCCTTCCTCCTATCCCCTCTACCACTGAATTCTAAATCCCCCTCAATGTCTAAAATTAGCCTTTCCACTTCAGATCTTTTTTTCTTATTTGTTCCTTTTCTCCCCCCCATCCTAATACAACAATCATCCTCTTTCTTTTCTCCATCCTTTCTAGCCAATGTCTGAGGAAGAATTTTACCCTGCTCACACTTATTTTGGCTACAACATCTTTCTCCAAGTCCCTTCTTTTTATTTTGTTCCTCCATCATTGTACAGATCAACTCCCAAATTCTGTCCGCCTCCCCCTTACTACTTCCTTCCAACACCCTCTCTCCTCCATCCACTATCACCCTCTTTCTTACATCAGAACCTCCAGGATGGGAAACTGGGATATCTGTTACAGGYAGAGCAAACAAGTCAGTACCTAAAACAGAATTGACACCCATACCTGATAGAACGGGGGTAGGACTAGAATCACTGGAAATGACTTGCTGACAGGCGGCAACTGGTTTTAAAGCCTTTCCCCTTTTTGGACAAGGTTGTGAAGTAGACATGGTGAAAGAATCACTTCCTGACGACCTACCCACTTGGAAGACCTTTCTCTGTGTTTCCGACACTGGAATACCCGCATCCATCCTTACAGCCGATTCTTGTCCCTCTCCACCAACATCCTGTAGTTCATTAGACTCAGGGTCAGCTCCCTCGATGAAGGGAGGAGGAGTTTTCACAGCTTTAGAACCATTTTCTTCACCATTTCTAGCCTTCTCGCCACCTGCCTCTTCAGTCTCTTCCTCTAGAAACAACARCTCTGTATGCAAACTTTTTGTTTCAAAAAAATCATTGTTGCTTTTCAGAGACAGACTTCCCAGATTTAGCGTTTCGTCTCTATCAGAATCGTCATTGCTGTTTTGTTCACTTGACCAGTCTTCAATCCCTGTTCTGTTCTCATCATTAGGCTTGAGGTATCTCGGGTTGCGCCTATCTGGTGAGAGACGGTTCGCCAGGTTGGATGGGACCCACTATAGAGAGCCTCGCGATTGCGAATCTGGAGATTTTTTTGCGCCTGAACTGTTCGAACGAGAGGAGGGGTTCGGGGTAGAAGAAGATAGACGCTTAATTTCGTCTATCAGCTCGTCCCTCCTCCCAGCCACGTGCTTACTTAAAGTACCCCTCGGCCCATCTATCTTGTAATGGGCCTTGGGCTGAAGCCTATGGGAGCCCACCTTTACAGCCTTTAATTGAGATGCCTTCTCCGGCCCTTCATCAAGTGGATCCACTCGATTGGGCCCTTCATTTCGTCCCACGTGACCACTTAAAAGGTCACGCCCCCCTGATTTAATGGTCGAACCAGCAACCTTCCCTGTCTGAGGTTGCTTGTTCAGCCCTCTCCCTTTCGAAACTAGTGAATTTTTGTTTGTTTCCCCTGACACCACCTGCGCAAATGATCTGCCATTTGTCATAATTTTTTTTGCTTTCTCCAGGTTTGACCTTCCAACTGCCCCATAACTTTTTGGCTTCCCAGAATTTGTTGGCCCTTTTTAGTGAAACATCCCTTTCCATTTGAATTAACCACTCTCACAAGTCCACGTAGTGCTTCTTCTTCCTCCTCCCCTCCAACCATACGAGCCTCCTTCCACAGCACTGCTTCAATGGAGGAAGCTAACCATACAGAGACAAAGCTCCCCTYTGTTCRTACCTYTACCTTTCGTGGAATGTCTTCTGGCTTCACACCACTTAGCAGGATTGCTACTRAGTAAAGATCTCCCCAGAAGGCACCTTTCAACACAACTATAGATTCTTTTATTTCTTGTTTCTTAAATGCTTCGCATTCTTGAAACTACAAATTTCCTTCAGGGCATTTTGGGTTTGGAGCCACAGGAGTACACAACCCATGCCGAAAAGCAAAGCTATTCACACAAAGGGATAGAGAGAACAACACAGAAAAGCATGAATGATGCAATTTACCACCGAAAAATAGAGCTATTCACACACACACACACACACACACACAGAACAACACCGACAAGCAAGAACGATGCAGTTTGCCAAGTAGATCGAACATGCTGTCAATCGGGAATATCAAGTAGATCTGCTTGGATCCGGGGTTGGCCATCCCACCTTGTGGTGAGTGCATTGGAGATAATGTTGGTTTTGATCAATTAAGCATGGATTTGGATGATCTCTAAGGTCATTTTTTATCTTTGAAGAAGAGAGAAAAATGGGTTCTCTAGTAGGAATCCTATTGAGGGAGAAAAAGTCATATGGACGAGTCAAAAGGAAGAAATTCTCCATTGATTAAGAGTTGAGACTGCTTGAAGAGGAGTCACATTAGACCGAGAACCACAAATGATAATCATGGAGGAAAAAATGAGCAACTAATAATAGCGGGCCTAGCAACCATTGTTTGGAGGGAGAGGGAGTATACAGGTGAAAAAGAGTTGTTGTCAACTGAGAACGTCAAATTTGCCCCAAGCCAATAAGCTTATTTACAAGGTTGGCGACAATGATGGCCTTGTCAACCACCCCAAGCTTCTTGGCTTCGTTGGAATCCAAATCAACTTCTCGTCTGTCAATTGTCACACTATTCTTCGGATTCAATGTATGAATCTTGTATTGTTTAGGGTTAATGCTCAATTATTATCACGATCAATAAGCCATTGTGTGTAGTTGCAGCCTCTTCCAAGGGCCGAAGGGCATATTAGTAGTCGTTGTCGGATTCATCTAGATCTTCATCTCCTCAATACTATTATCATCGTAGACATGGCCATAGTCCAATTAATTGTTATAGAAGGTCTCATTATGAATCAAATCACCATCATGATCGAGTAGAGTTGATCGATCATGCAAACCTTAGGAGAAGACCTAGGTCTAGTAGCTTGTCCCAATTCGACCTTAGCGATCACAAGGACTAGGGCACACCATTTCTTGATAAAGGTTTTATGAATAGTATTTTAGGAATAGAGGTAAAAGGGTATTCTAGGAATAAAGGTAAACAAGGTATTTTAGGAATTTTTAAAAAATATATCAATCATGTGATGTCACATGAGATGGAAAGTTAATGGAAAGGGAGGTTTTAGACAATTGTCAAAAAACACTTGGGGGTTCTTTAAGACAACATATAAACAGAGGGTAGAGTGAGTCAATTAGTTAAACCATAAGGATAGTTTAAGAAATTTATCCATAAGAAAATGACCATTTTAGCCATAAAATCTATTATTAAGAGGGATAATTTTATCACACAATTTTGGCAACTTTCACTCCAGGTGCGTAACTTTTCCATGGACCCCACATAAATATGAAAAAAAAACATAGGTACCAACTTTCCCCAATCTCAAAATCCAAAAAAGAACACACCCAAAAATTTATTTGCATGATGTTTGGTTCAACACCCGATTTTTGCTCGGTCCGCTGCTTAACCCCCCGATTCACTCTGAACACCTGATCAGACTCTTCCAATCTCTCTGAAACACCCCAAAACCCCTACTTTCAATCTAAAAGCCATCAAATCCACTGTTAAATATATCCTATACCAATCCGATGGCTCCAACCAACCCCCATCTACACTTTAACCCTAAGATCAGACACCACCATTAGACAAAAAGACCTACCAAAATACTTATCCAGCAAATCTCAACTCAAAATTCCTAAGTTTACCCTCTCATAAAGCAAAGATTCCATTTTGACCCCTTACGTTAACCCAAAACACTTATAACCTAAATCCCCTTGATCCAAACCCATATGAGCCAATCAAACCATACAATTGATCCCTAAACACACCAAAACGCCTATCCATAAACTTTTAACCCAAGATTCCTATAATCTTGACCCCTGAACCAATCAGACATTACCACCAGATCCTAAATACTCTAAAATACCCACATGCAAAATTGTAACCCAAAATACCCTTGTTTGCTCCTCTATACACAGATTCCATTTCAAGATTCTAGATTGACCGAATTAAACCCCTTTTCATTTGTCTAATCCGGGCCTAGTTAGGCCAATCTAACCCCACCAATCAACTCAGAATGTCCAGAAACCCTACCTTACCAAATTTCAGCCAAAAATACCCTATTTACCCCTTATGCAAAAAAAATTCCATTTCGACCAATCTCACTAGCCCACACATGCAAAAACACTATACACACTCAGACCCATCTCAACCCTTCACATTTTGACCCAAAATCTTAGCCATCCATCCAAAACTCTCGGTTTGACCCCCTACACCCAATTTGACCCAAATATCTCATAATTACAAAAATGTCATTCGGAGCCTCCAAAATTACGAAAATCCCATTATTCCCTATTATAAATACAAAGGTAAATTTAAATTTTAACCTAATGCACTGTTCATTTCCTCATTCCTTCGAACCGAATTGAGAGGCGGCGACGATCTCCTCCCTTAATCTCTTCCCTGTTCTTTTCCCCCATCTCTTTCTTTTTATTCTCCCATCTATCTCTCCCACTTTTCTGTTATTTTCTGATTTTTATTTTCCCCTTCGTTCTCTCCCTCTCTCCCTTCCCATGTTTCAATCACCGTTGCTTGCAATAGTGGATCTAAACACAGCTGTGGTGGAGAATCTTCCCTTTCCTCCAATCTTCTCATCTCTCTCTCTGTCTCTGTCTCTCTCTCCTCTCCCTCCCTCTTTTCATTACTTTCCATTGTCACCAATCAATCGAATCCCCATTTCTCTTTATCGTTCTCTGGTAGAGCTGAACCGATGGTAGTAGCTATCGCCCGAAGCATCTCTTTATCGTCGTTCTCAGTCATCCGAAAAAGTCAAGTTCGTGAGGCTTTCTCGACTTCCCTATACTAACAATGCTCCACGGAAGTTGACTCTGTTTAAAGACCCATAACCAGAAGTTGAAGCAGACTGAAACTCCTCCTGCTGCTAATTGTGTTCCCAGGCCACATCTCCATCAGGTAACACTCATTTTTTGCTCAATCGACAACTGGTTTTCATGTGTTT